AACAAAAAACAAAAGGGTAGACATATAAATGTGAGACTTCAGAGACGAAAAACACAAAAATAGACCATTCTTTGTAAATGACATTTCACCTACCTCGTTTGTGTAGAAATCTTACTCAGCTACAAACAAACTATGTGGTCAGATGGAAGAGTTACTTTCAATGTACAATATTCTTTTTGTTATCTGCAAAGCTGAGTACGAAGTGCACAGATGAAGAAGACTGGTTTGCTGAAGTGCACAGATGAGAAGTGGTTGTTTGATTAATTGGAAAACCTTAAATTCTCGGGCGAAATAATACCAGTTAACGGCCTGGAATTCATTGTAAGTCAACCTAACTTCTCGCCAATTCTCGCCCATAAACAACCCAAAATTAGCATTTCGGCCAATTCTCGGACGGGAAAAATGCGATTCTGCCCGAGAATTAGTTATCATTATCACGCTTACGGTCGGGAAAATCACGTTTAAGCCCGAGAATTGACGCTATAATTGAGGGGTAGTTTGGTACATTTAATTCCACTGACAATTCTGAAAAAGTATATTTGGGTCATTCAAAACAATTTTTGAGGGGTGGATTATTTGAGCACATTGGAAACTTTGGAGGGTCATATGAGTTATTTTTTCGTTTCTTTTTATGGGTTTATAAAGTTTGGATTCTCGACAGAAGCAATTAACATTTGAGGATTCTGCAAAACCCCTAAAAAAATGGTGAAAACCATAGAGAAGATGCAAAAAGGCCCAGATTTCAATTAATTACCTGCCAAGTTGAGAGAATCTAGGGCTTAAGAACCCCTCCAATTCGAGAACCGGCCGATTACGAACCTGACAAACCAACAAGAAAATTACGCTAACCTTCTCAAGATTACGGGTCTTGGATTGGAGAAAGTCTGCAAGTTGCAAATGAAACTGGAATCTTATTGGGCTGTTGAAGTCTGGAAAATAGATAAGATCAAATAAGAATTGGTTATGATCGTTAGAAAGATTAAAGAACTGACTCACCAGAAAAAAGAAAGAATGCAAGGAAATAAATACCTCAAATTTGAGAAGAGATAAAATATAATTGATATGCAACCTAGAAATTACAAAACAAGTGTCCAAAAGTAAAGAATGTTCCGTAAAGAATGAATGAAAAAACGAAGAAACATAATTAGATAATGAGATAAATACCTCAAATTTGAGAAATAATTGGGAGCCCTTTAGAAATAAAAGAACAAGGGTCGGCTCTGCAAAGATTGTGCTAAAAACCTGAAACAAAATGAGATGATTAAAATTAAGATTCTCGAGGGAAGAAGAGAATTGAACGAAACAAATACCTCAAATTTGAGAAGAGCTTAAATATAGTTGATATCCAACTTAGAAATCACAAAACAAGCGTCAGAAAGTAAATAATGTTCTGCAAAGATTGAACGAACAAATACAAAAATAGAATGAGAGATAACAGAAGTTACGATTCTTGACGAAAGAAAGAGTGAAATGAAATAAATACTTCCTCAAATTTGAGAAGAGCTTAAACAATAGTTGGTACCCCACCTAGAAATCAAAAAACAAGTGTCAGAAAATTAAGAACGTTCTGCAAAAGATTGAGATAGAAGGACGGCCTAAAAGCGAAATGAGAGAAAAAAAAAATTAAGATTCTTGAAGAAAGAAGAGAATGAAATGAAATAAATACCTCAAATTCGAGAAGAGCTTTAATATAGTTGAGATACCCAACTTAGAAATCTCAGACCAAGTCTCAGAAAGCAAAGAATGTTCTGGACGCAAAAAAAACCCAATAATAGAATGAGCAAAAACAAATCTAGATTCTTGAGTTAAGGAAAATCAAAGAAAATAAAATACCTCAAATTTGAGAGAGCTTAACAATAAATAATACAAGTTTTCATAATGTATAGAGTTAACATCCTGAAAGGATTGAGATTTAGTGAACAAACAAGTCTTACCATGACAATGGCACTTATTCTCATGGAGATATCGACCATGATGATTGACTCACAATTTCAATATTTCCTGTGCCAACTTTAGAGATATTATCTATGCTAAATTTCATCTGTCAACAAAGGAATTCATTTTCCATAATGAAAAATATATTGTTATGCTCTGAATATGAGAGAAGAACAAGAAAACAACACTATGGTTAAGGAAAAAACAACACAACGAGAGAAAAGTAAACAGAGTATTGACATAATAAAATAATTTGGAAACAGCCAAGAACTTAAATTTCTTTACCTCTTAAGAAAAGGACATTAATCGATGTCATGCTTCCAATTATGTAAAAGATGTAGCAATTTCAATACACCAGAACTGTAATATACTAACCGAGAATGTGGTGAGAAGAAGAAAACTACTCGAGCACTGCTGGAGAAAAATAGCATAGAAGTTTAAAAACTCATAAAGAAAGACATGAACAACTCAAATTTAAAATATTCAGAACTCCATACGGTCTTGTGGTTCGTCAATTACCTGAAATTTCTAGACACTCCACTATTATGGCTTCTTTTGCCTTATCTAGTTCATGAATAACCCAAAAGATATAAAACAGTTTTCTACTCCAAATACTTCACATCTAAATGAAACCAAAGGCCGTCTTGAAACAAAAGTTGATATGCCCATTTCAAAAACCTGAGGTATTTGATCAAAGACCCAAGTGAACGCAAAAGAAAACCTTAGCAAACTGATCCAACAAATCAACTACGTATTCATTTGGCTGGAGAAACTCATCTGACAAAGGCAAAGTTCTTAAGCTATTTTACTCACAAATAACAATAAAAAAGGACCAAGGCAAAGAACCCACCAAATTAAAAGGCAAGCACATATATAGCTTAAGTAGTTTAAGGTTGGGCACTGGTTTAAGAACTGATAACTTCTTTTCATAGATCGTCCATACCAACTATAGAAATATTACTTAAGAAGAGCTATGATATATGATGTGTGACTATGAAGAACAATAGTTAAAATGTTAAAAAGTGAAGGACATTCCGCCAATATTAAATAAAATAAGAGAATTTCAGAGAACAAGCAAATCTTACTGTGACAATATGCTGCGAGTAATGTTCATTTCCACGCAGTTGTTCATTATAGCACACTTGGAATTACATTGACATCTTTATAAATTGGTTTCTGGTCATTTATAGAGCAAAGGAGAATTGTTCAATAAAACTTACATTTAACCATATCAACAGTTGCATTGAGAAAGACCAATATTTTGAGACAACAAAATATTTCAAGACAATATTATATTCAAACAACCAGTATTGAGAAGAGTTAATTATGCCAAATTATTTCGAAGAAACATATATTCCAAGGCAACATATACTTCGAGTGAAGCAACATGGCAACTAATGCATTTCGAGGGACCAAATCGCTATAATTATTGCCAAACATTGTCCGGAGGCGACATATATTTTTTATTAACGGTTGATTTAAAGCTACATAAATTCCAAGACATCCGTTTCAAGCTACATATTTTTCGAGACAATATATATTTTAAGGAAACTGATCATATTTCAAGGCAATATATATCCAATGCAACCGTTATTTCGAGGAGACACATACGTTGGCAACCATTATCCAGAAGCGACATACTTTTTAGGCCACCGATATTTTGAGGCAACAATTATATATCGAAGCAACTGCTTATTTTGAAATTGTACAAATTCTGAGGCAACTATTACAAGGCAACATGTATTTTGAGGGACCAAATATTGGTTGTCCCAATGCAATTGTTGGCAACAATTATTTAGAGACAAGAATTATATCGATGCAACTGTTATTATTTTGAAGCTACATAAATGTCTTAAGGCAACTCTTTCGAGACTACATATTTTTTGATAATATATATATAGACGTTGTTTAGAGGGCCATATATTCGAGGGACCAAATAAAGTGGTCACTTGATATAATTGTTAGCAACCATTACTTGGAGCCAACGTATATTTTTGGAGGCAACCATTATATCGAGGCATTCGTTATGTCGAGGTATCCGTTATATCGAGGCAACTGTTATTTTTTGGGACATCGAGGCAACATATATTTTTGGAACGTCGAGGCAACTGTTTCAAGGCTACATATTTTTTTAGAATATATATAAACGTTATTTGGAGGCAACATATATTCGAGGGACCAAATAAATTGGTCGCTTGATATAATTGTTAGCAACCATTACTTGTAGCCAACATATATTTTTGGAGGCAACTATTATATCGAGGCAACCGTTATATCGAGACAACCGTGATTTTTGGGACATCGAGGCAACCATTATATCGAGACAACCGTTATATCAAAGCAACTGTTATTTTTTTGGGACATCGAGGCAACTGTTATTGTTATTTTTTGGGACATCGAGGCAATTGTTATTTTTTGGGACCTCGAAGCCAGTCATTTTTAGGACATCGAGGCAACATATATTTTTGGGACATCGAGGTGGGGAACCAAATAAATTGGTCGCTTGATATAATTGTTAGCAACCATTACTTGGAGGCATCCGTTATATCGAGGCATCCAAGCAACTATGATTTTTTGGACATCGAGGCAACTGATGTTTTGGACATCGAGGCCCGTTATGGCGAGGCAAACGTTATGTCGAGGCATCCGTTATGTCGAGACATCCGTTATATAGAGGCAACTGTTATACAGTTATTTTTTGGGACATCGAGGCAACTGTTATACAGTTTTTTTTGGGACATCGAGACAACATATACTTTTAGTATATCGAGACAAGATATATTAATGGGGCATCGGGCCAACTGTTATATCAAGGATATCGAGGCAACATGTATTTTTGAGGCATCAAGGCAACTGTTATCGAGGCAACATATATTTTTGGGTATCAAGGCAACTGTTATTGAGGCAACATATATTTTTGGGGCATCGAAGCAATTGTTGTATCAGGCAACTGTTTTATATCGAGGATTGAAAGAGTTTATCAGGCAACTGTTTTATATCGAGGATATCAAGGCTACATATTTTTTTGAGAAATATTCGTTATTTAGAGGCAACATATATTCGAGGGACCAAATATATTGGAGCAACCATTACATTGAGGCAACTGTTACATCTACAAATATTTCGAGAACTATGTCAATATACTCGGTAACCTACACAAGCAATTGCCACTTACTGTGTCCAAAGGGATGCATAGAACGGTTGCAGATCGTTGAGGAACCGCTCAAAATTATCAACCGTTCTGTGTATCATAAGCATAGAAAGTAAATGACCTTAAACGAAGCAGTGGCAAGAATGTTGACAAAATTTCCTTACCAAAAACCTTTCGGACCTTGATTAGTTTAATAGGTTTTTCCGCTCACCACGAACTATGTACTCCAGCTTCAATCTCTCAAGAGGGCACCAAAAGTTATATCATAAAGCAAAAACGCCATGAATGAACATGTCACGTGACGAAATGAGATTATGTATAGCCATACAACAACATTCTTACAGAAAGAAAGAACTATGGAAAAAGGTGGTCATAATAAGATGCTGAGACAGGGCAGAGTGGCTTGCTTTTGCATAATGATCTATATTGGAGACGTAAAAAAAAGTTATGCGGAATCTCCTCATTTGTTTTTCAACAACTGGCATTTAGTCTAATTGGTYCCATTCTGGAAACAATAATTTCCTAATAAATCATTGAATTTGGAATGTTGAAACATTATACGCTATTGATTTCATAGCTAAAAAACAAAATTAGTAAAGAATGGAAAATTGGGAGACAACCCTTGAACCACAGCAGCGACAGCGATAGTTCAAACGTCTTGCTTAATTTTCAATAGGCGGGGTCCGGGAAACGGAAACGGAAACGGATACAAATTCGAGAGGGTAGGGTTTCGAGAGGCGGGCGGAATGGGTCTCAAAATTTTTGTGGGCCGACAGAATATGGAATCTCGACGTATTTGGTACCAGTTTCAGCCAAAAGTGAAGTGGGGGGAAATTTCCGCAAGAAGAGAGCGATCTGAAAGAGATGGAGAAGATACCGAATCACTTTCTCACAAGAAACCCGAAAGATTTTAAGAAAGTGGGTTAATCGAGTGAGAGAGTGGAGAAAACCCTAGACGGTAAGAATCGATAGTTTTCGTAATCGCAAAACGAATGGCAAATAGAAATCGATAAATGAAATCGAAATGGATAAGCGAACCTGGGAACTGATTATGCCGTCGACGAGAGAAGCCGATGAACAGATACGAAAGAAGAAGGCGGAGAAGGAGATGTACGAGTGAAGCAAACCACAGAAAAGAAGAATAATAAAATGAGATGTCAGACCCACATTTATAGCGTTAGCCTGCGTGGAGAATAAGCTACCTAAAATATAATAATTAATTGTTGGTTAAAATGTTTTATTATTACGGTTTAAATCAAGTATTTATTAAATTTATTTAAGCAATATTATTTATATAAAGAAAAATATATATATTTTACTAAATCGTCAAATATTAAAAAGAAAATCCATAATTTTCTCTTCTAGAAATACAAATCTTAATTTTAAAAAAATAAATAAACATTAAAAAAATAGAGGACAGTAGAACAGAGGGATATCGATGCAAAATTTTCAGAAAAAATCGAGCAAATTGCAGGTATCTATGCAATTTTAATAATGGTTTAATTAGGMTATAATAATTATTTTTTAGTATGATATCTAAATATATAAGAAATGTATTTCGAAAATCAAGAAAATTGTGGATATGTGTGAAATTTTTGAATTAATAAATAAGAATTTAATTATAATTTAATTAGACTATAGGCAAGAGAGTTTGAGGCTGGATAACAGAGGTATACGAACTCAAAAGGGTTAGGGTTTCGCAACTGTGAGTTTCGAAGATTTGATGGTCAATTACAGTTTGGATTATCAATAGAAGCAATTAAAATTCGAGGATTATTCATAATCACCATTGATTATATATTTGGAACCAGTTTCGAACAGGGAAAAAAAATTGGGGAAAAACCTGAGAGAAGATGCAACATTCGGAAGCCCCTACGATCGGGTAAGTTTAAGATTAGGGTTAGGGCACAGAATTTCAATTACTTGAAAAAAAATCCATGGGTAAAACTCGTAGAAAATATTACAAAAGCATACTAAAGCACAAATTGATAATTTAGTGATGATCAAGAACGCTCCGAATCGAGGACCAAGCGATTACGAACCCACAAAATCGAGAGCAGAGTCATTACGAACCTACAGAACCAAGAAGAGAATTACGATCTGGTTTCCTGTACTTCCAATCCCGATAATCGACGGATATTAAGCGAGATTGAGTGAGAGAGAGAAGAAAACCCTAGCCGGAAACCGATAATTGAAGTCGGAAGAGAGAATCGAACCTGGATAGATAACTCCGGGAACTGAACGCCGCCGACGAGAGAAGGCGTTGCAACTGAGAAGAAGAAAAACGCGGGAGAGGGAGAGAAACGAGGGTCTGAGGAGACGTTTCTCAAACCAGGGTTTGAAGAGACTAAAAAGACTGATGCCCACTGGCTTGCGTGAAGACGAAGTTAACTGAAACAAAATTATAATTTGTTTTTTARATAATAATTTAATTTTAACTACACTTTTCTAGCAAATAATGCTTCTTTTTTTTTCTCTTGAGTAAATCGTTTAAAGAAACACTCCCAGAATTGGAGTAGATAATAAAAATCTTTTATGTATTTTAAATTATGTAATTTATTTTTAAAATTTTTAAATATAGTAATAATTTTTACTTCATTCATATTGAACAGACACTCATATCAGTAGTATATTAGATATATATCACACATATATCGTAAGTATATCGGACACACTCATATCAATAGTATACCACATATATATTACATATTGTATATCATTTGGGTAGATTATCATTTTTAAATTGGACCTCAGTTTTTTTTTTAATGAAAAGTGTTATATTTGAAAAAGCAGACGTGGTTACTATTTAGATTCTTGCTTTTGTCTTTTTCTCATAAATGGTATTTATGGAATTTTTTCCCTAAATTTATGGAACAATAATATAAATTAAATTATTTATATCTTACAAAGTTTATACAATATTAAATTGGTTTTGTCAAAATATTAATAAATAAATATGTAATGTAAGTATCTAGTTTGTAAATAGTATTTATTAATTTTATAATTGTTTGTTCCAAAAGCTGTTTTTAAAATATCCTTATGATTTTTTTATTTATATTGAATAAATTATTTATATAATGTTAGAAAAGTACTATAATGGCAATAAAATAAATTTAATTACATTTGAAYCCTTTTGACATAAAATTATGCCTTCGCACTGCATACCACATGATACAATATTGAAAAACACTRATATACAATAAGAAAAGTAAACAAAGTATTGGCATAATATAATAATTTAGAAACAGGGATTAAATTTCTTTACCTTAAAAAAAAGGGACATTAATGGAGGTTCGGCTTGCAAAGATGCAACTATTTAAACGTACTAAAATAAAACTTTGTTATACACTTACAAATAATGTAATGAGATGAAGAAAACCACTCAAACATATAGTTTGTAGGCAACGAAGAGAAAGTTTTGAAGCAACCGTTATTTTAAGGCAACAAGACTACATAAATTTCGAGGCTACATATATTTGGAGGCAAATATTTAAAGGATCTATATTTTACGAGACCATATATAATTTGAGGGGACAAATATTGGTTGTCTCAATATAATTAATATAATTACCAAAACAAACCCAACTCAACAGTAATTAAAATATAACAGCCGTTATTTAGGAGTAACGTATATTTTCTTAGACAACAATTGTATCGAAACATATTTTGAAGCAATATAATTTGAGATAACCATTTCAAAGATAAGTTAAAAATAATTAATATTAACATCACATATATATTAATAATATTTTGTATATTCGGAATTCGTTTGAATACGATGAAAGGTGGATTTACTACTCCAATCGATCCACGATATTTAATGCCATGACATGGTATATTAGAGAGAGAGAGCAAAAATTAGTTCACAAGACTGTTTTTTTTTATCTAATTTTTGGTTGGAGATGGGAGGGCAACCGAATTTCTCCTGAATTATTGGGAGAGGAACGCATGAAATGCCGTGAATTCGAAGGCAATCTCTTATGAACGGATATTTGGTTACTTGCTRAGGTAAGAATTCAAGTCCCTCGGGGCTTTGAGCGAGAAGGAAATGACTCAGTCGTTGAATACGAAATCCGAACGAATCCAGAGACAAACAAGGATAACGACCTTCGTCCCTCTCAATCTCTTCGCGGGTCTTGTTTGAAGTTTCGATCGGATCTTTTAAGTATGAACAAAAAAGGGTTGGCAATTTTGATGCGAACCAGGATGAGACCTAACAACGATCTCACCAAGCTCTCTCTATCCCCTCTCACTGTATGCTCGTCTCTCTACGTTCATTTTTTTGATTGTGGGGTTGAATTCAAGTCAATTTCAGCTATAATCCTAGTTTAATTTCTCTGGGTTTATTTTTATTTTGATGGTTGGTTTGAGTTGGAGTGATTTTAAGCTATAATTGTAGTTTGTCTCTATCCCTCTTCATACTGTATGTTCGACTCTCTATGTTAATTTTTTAAAAATTAATTTTGGGGTTGAGTTCAATTGATTTTCAGCTATAATTCTAGTTAATATCTCAGGTTCTTCATTTTAATGGTCGGATTGAGTTTGAGTGATTTTATGCTAAACTGTAATGTGATTTCTCTTCCTATATTGGTTTCGTTTAGGGGGGGCGTCGCAGTATTCTGAACTCGAGTTACTCTCAAAGTTGTTGATGATTCAGGATAATTGAACTGAGAAATATAGTGCCGTAAACAGGTTTTATGATTTCTTGATACAGAATCAGATGCAACTTAATTCACAGGATTCCAGAGGACGTGTAATGGAACATTTCCCGGACGAAAACAAAAAACAGCTCAAGATCTCAGGCAACACAGAAAGGTTTTGAAATTTGATGTACTCGAATGTAAAAGTTATATATTTTCTTGTCCAGACTGCTGTACCGCCACTTATTTTTGTGCCCGACAAGCTAAAGTTGATTTATGATCAATGTTGTCAGAGATTTTGATATTGTTCGTGGATGGATGCATTTGGTCATTTCTATGAAGAAAATGGAAGGTCTAGATGACGTGCTTAATGATTTTTCGAAGGCAAGTCTATAAATGTAACTAGAGTGTTTAATTTCTACGCAATTCTTATTATATAATCATGTTAAACTCACGATTTGCTTTTGGATGTGATTATTCTTGTGTTTGTAACATTCATGTTCCCAGTTCCCTCTTAATTACTTAGGGCTATTTCAGTCTCTCCCCTGAGAACCGCAGGAAGTTGCTTCTCATGCTTGCCAAAGAGTATGACTTCAATAGAACGCAAGTTCGTGATCTGATGAAGCAATATCTTGATCTTGAACTTCCTAGTGGTAAGACTAGTTTTGTTTTCTTTCACAGAACATTTGTAAACATGCACCTATATGTGTTTCATGATGGTAGATATAGAATTGAAGATTGATTTGGATCCGTAGTTCTTGGCTTCAGGTGAGAATGCACGATCTGTTGGTCAAGACGATAAAGCCCCACTTTCTGCTTTCTACCATCTTGAGCAAAATTTGAGGCATGCTCTGAAACCAACATATGAAGTTCTTTTTGAGCGACTTAACACACATCCTGGTGGGCTGGGGTTCTTGTCCATTCTACGAGCTGATATTCTCTCTGTACTTGCGTAAGATTATGATTGATGTTATGTTTTATTTCATCTTGATGGGTTTATCTAATTTCAGTTTAACTATATACCCAATGACACGTGTAGCCATTTAAAGAGACTTTTATAACAAGGTTTTTTCAAATAATTAAAAATAGTGAACTGGTAGTAGATGATCTAAAACTACAAACACATCTGTCAGGGATAATATTGTGACTTTATATTATTAGAGAGGAAAACATTGCGTCTTTGAGAGCACTGGATGCCTACTTAAAGGAGAAACTCGGCATGTGGCTCAGTCCTGCTGTCTTGGAGCTTCACCAAATAACTTGGGATGACCCTGCTTCTTTACTAGAGAAAATTGTAGCTTATGAGGTGTAATTTTCTTCCATTAGTCACTCTTATATGATATCTTTTGTCGTATATTTTGCTTACTTGTTCAAACCCTTCCACAGGCTGTGCATCCAATCAGCAATCTTATTGATCTTAAGAGAAGGCTAGGAGTTGGTCGACGTTGTTTTGGATATCTACACCCAGCGATACCAGGTTTACTCCCCCTTTCCCTTGTGCAGCTTTTGGTTATTGCAGCTAGTCATAGCCTGTGTCATCGGCTGATTATATTTAAGATACAAGTATTATCAAATCATCCCTTTGAAAAACTTTCCGGATTTGGAAATCATGGTATTTGTTATGTTTGTACTTAAGTTGGAAAATTTTCGATTGGTCGTTTGCATTATTTGGATGGAGATTGCATTATTATTAAAATAATGAAGATTTAAGCTCAAGTGCTCAACATAATGAAGATTGCATTCTATCCATTGTCTATCGTGCATTTGTGGCCAGGGCAGTCATATTAGGCAGAAATTATAGGGTTAGGTACAGAACAATAGTGGAATTATGTTGCAGTGCTAACTTCATGTTATAAATTATAATACCAAGGTTTTCTCCAGGTGAACCTCTTATTTTTATTGAAGTTGCACTGTTGAAAAATGTGGCTCAGACAGTACAGGTTATTTCCTTGCATCTATGATCTAAGCTTATTATTTATTTATTTTGTTATTAGCATTATACTTATACATTTGTTTCTTGTTTGGTAGGAAGTTTTGTGGGACGATCCCCCAATACCTGAAAGTGAAGCAACCTGTGCGTTGTTTTATTCTATATCCTCTACAAAGGTATAAATAAGTTTCAAAGTTAATATACTGTTTGATCTAAAATGTTTTGGGAAGGCGTTTACTATATTGTCCTCTTCAAATGCAAGATCAGTAGGACGCCAGTTGCATTTTCCATTTTAAGAACATATCAATATACTGTTTAAAGAATGTGTTATTTTCCACTTCTTTTCATTTTCTTAGTTAAAACTTGTAATATAAAAACACAATTTAGAAAATTAGACATGTTTATAGTTTATCAGTATGATTAGCTAACAAGAGGCTTACAATATTTGGTTCATTCTTCATATGTCACAATTCTCGGGGAGTTAGATTTTTTTACTTGACTATCAAGGTTTCCCTTTTTGCTTTCTCTGAAAAATGGTTGATTTGGTCTTCATGTTGATGGCAATCTATTTGTTCACATTCTGATACTTTTGAAACTCTGCAGCCTGGCTTATCAGGAATCAATCTTGGGAAGTTCCTCATTAAACGAGTAATAACACTTGTGAAGAGAGACATGGCATATATCAGTGTATGTATTCTCTCGATTATTTGGCCAGAGCATGGAAGTTTTGAAGTAAAATTTTTCTGCTAGAAGCCTAGACCTCATGAGAATAATGTTATGTATGGAAAGCAGCCCTCCCTGAACTCTGTACCTTTGATATTTCTTTGACCATTGATGCTCTGCTTGAATTTTGTAACATTTGAAGTTAATTTGGATGGTGGTATCTATAGGCTATTAGGCTGTAGGATGTGACTATGGAGGAGGTTTCGTTCTTTATTCTCTCATCTAATTTTTTCTGTCACCCATTCTGACTTTGATCACTAAATTTAAAATTTGTCCATCTCTCTCTGCAAATGAAGTTGAAGAGAGAGTCAGAATGAGAGTAAGGAGGTGGATGAGAGACAAAAGGGAACGAGAAGAGGGTACAAAGGAGTTTAACTAAAGGGATATTTTGGGCTATAAAATTTTGATATGTGCTGTGAGAGTCCTATTAGGGGTATAGGGGAATATTAGTTTGTTAGTATGAAGGGGTAGTATGGTAATTAGAATGGTGATTAGTTAGGGTGAGTTGTTATAAATAAGGGTAGTAGGGAGAGGAGAAGGATATCTTGGAGAATTGGAGAATAGTTTTGTGTAAGGAACTTGAGAGAGTTCTTTCGGAGAGAGATGACCCTCTCAAAAGGCTATCGATATTGTAATTTCTCTTTGATTTGTAATATAATGATTTAGTTAGGTTCTTGTATTTGGGATCCTAACATGTGCATCAACAAATTCCTTCAGGTTGATAGATATGCAGTTTAATAGAGCAATTACAAGTCATCTCTTCATGCGTTTGATGGTTGAAAATTCGATGATTGTTTTCTAAAGCTTCACTTGCCGTTGCCGTTAAATCACACTATTACTTAGTTGTTTGCTTGGATTAATCACTAATTTTGGAGTTATATTTTCTGCAGACATTCGCAACTCTAAGTCCTATCCCAGGTTTCATGCATTGGCTTTTACCAAAGTTGGCATCTCAATCAAATCTAGCCGAAAAAGAGGTTGCATCGCGTTCATCCGGAAATGAATCTGCTTCCACTTTCTGGGAGAATATTCTTGAACCGGAGGAGGAGAGAGTGCTCCTTGAATCATCACAGTAAACAAATTCATAAATCATTCAATTCATTTCCAGCCTCTAAAAGAATGGTAGTGAAATTTCCACAAAAACACTGACATTTTCCTTGGCATCTTGCAGAGAATTTGTCACTGGAAAGAATGGCATGGAGGTGATGTTGAAGTTATTGACATTGTCAAACCATGGGTGGACTAGTTCGACGAAATTGCTTTCAGCATTAAAACACCCTTTAATGCGCTTGTGTGCCAGGTATAGAATTAGGAAATTTGCAAAAACCACTCCAAAGTCCAAACTATAGAGGTCGTTACAGTCACATCCTCAAACTTTTAATTTGATCATCATCTCCAAACTTACAAAATTGTTGTAATTGTGAACCCTGATGTATCGCAAAAAGCACAAACTACCACAAAACTATAAATATGGTTACAATCAAACCCTTGAGCTATAAGATTGTTATAATCAGATTTTATTGAACTAAAAGAATTGGAGTTAGATTGTAACAATCTATACTTCGAGGTTTTGACTGTAATAGTTACTGCAGTTTGGGATGACTTGTGCATGGACAATTTTTTCAGTTTAGGGAGACGATTAATACAATTGAAATTTTTAGTGTTATTGTAACACCTCTTATAGTTTTGTGCATGATAGAATAAAAAGCTAATGGATTACGTATGCCATTTTATTGATTTTAGGTACCTTGTAGAAGAGAAAAAGAGAGGAAAAGCTCTAGATTCTGTGGCAAATTTTCACTTGCAAAATGGAGCAGTGCGTAATCTAGCATTTCTCTTGGATTTATTTCCTTTGTTAATTGTTACAAAATAACTGAACTTTTGATATCGCTTTGAATGTATTATTATCTTTGGAAGTGTGCTGGTTCTTCAAATGTTGTTTTACTGTTATGGATCAAAAAGAACTAATGGATCATACGATTTGCTTGTTCTGAATGTTCTTAATATGGAACAGATGATCGAAAGACTTAACTGGATGGCAGACCGATCCGAAAAAGGCCTTCTTCAAAGTGGAGGTATCATGGTGAACTATATTTACAGGTAGTCTCCTTTGAATCCTGTCTTTTCACCTTTAATCACTTCATGACTTCTCTCGATAGGCCCAAGATAACAATGCATATCATTAATAAAACGAAACTGGATTGGTTCTACATCAGGTACTGTAACTGTGTTAAAATTCTCAGATTGAAAAACTGACACTGAATATTGATGAAAATTGACTTCATAGGATGGAGAAAATTGAAGAATATGCTAATTCTTACTTCAGCACTGGCCAAATACATTCCTCACCTGACATTCTTCGTTACGTCAAGGTACAGTTTCTGTCACTGGAAGACATGCATATTGACATTTCTCCAACTCCCGAGTAGTATCTTTGTGTATCTCGACCAATCTTATTAGGATAATTGCTCATCTACGTTTACTGACAATCTTCATCTCATCCTTTTTTTCCCCTTGTTTTTAGTCCAAGAAATTGCACGATGAATCTACAGAGTAGAATTTCTGAAAGATTCAATAGGTGGTTATTCTTCTCTGCCGCCATTGTTGCTTCTTCAAGTGCAGCTGGTGGCTACAAACCATACTGTGGGATGTTAGGATATTAAGTATTAAAGAATAAGATATGGCCTTTTGCTGGTGTTGCCTTCTCTAAAATATGTCATCGGTTTGGGGAAAAGACTGTTGTGTGTATAATCTTTCAATATTATTCTGTGTGTATGCTTTGTATTAGATATGCATTTCCCCCTATTATTCTCTTACATATTTAACATCTTTTCTTTTTAAATAGATATTCTCAGTGTTATTTAATCTTGTTTTTTTTTCTTTGAAAACTTTATTCTTGTTTTTTTAYGGGGAAAAACTCTACTTTTATTGTAGGAATAAGTAGAAAATACTGGACAAATTCAAAAGAAGTAATAACAACACAAGAATTTAAGTACAAAATTCCAAATCGGAGAAAAGCCACAACCCACCAAAAAGAAATTTACTATGTAAAAAGATTGTTATAAAAATTCTCTGACCGACTCCAATTATACAACAAAATACCCTCTCAAAAGTAAATAGCACTCAAATAACATACCAAGTTTAAAATGTTTGGGAGTCGGGGAACACACCCCTCATTGTACCTCAATTGCTCTTATGATATTTTGCCAAAAACCTTACCATCTTTACCAGAAAAGCAACAAAATTGAATCACAAAATAACCCCACAACTTTATAATAATTAAAATTATTAAATGGGACTGAAAATGTTAATAGCAACAAAATCGAATTACAAAATAATTTCACAACTTTATAATAATTGAAATTATTAAATGGGACTGAAAGTGTTAATATTTAACTAATTTAAGGTTTTACATTATATTTTTGTTTCTATCAAGGGGTTTTTGGGTGAAATGTATGAAAAAATGTTTTTTTAGTACAACAAGTGGGGCAGGGGGATTCGAATTCATTACCTACTTGTTAGGGATGTATTCCAATTAAGTAAGGAGGTTGAATGTATAATATGATTTGCCTTATATCTCTATTATAAATCTTTTTTATTTTAAAAAAACTCAATCTAATACCCATTTAGCTACTATTTGTTCATTTTTTATACTAATAATAACAAAAAATAATTAAAAAAATTTAAATTTAAATTTAAAAATAAAAAATATATATTTATAACGGGGACGGGTTGTCCGGGGAACCCGTCCGCGATCGGGGAATCCTCGCCCCCGTCCCTGCTTCTCCAATGGGGTGGGGATGGCCCCCCGGCCCTGCCTCGTTGCCATTCCTAATTATCACAGTATATATTTTGAGGATCGAGATTAAAAAATATATATATTTTATACCAAAAAACAAAAACAATTGAAAGTACAATTCATATAATTTGAAAAATACACATTTTTGTAGAGGAGGTTTGAAGAGCTGAAACTCCAGTTTGTCCCACATCCACGAGGCTCAAGATGGAGAAGGGGAGAAGAGAGTATAAAAGGAAAGGGGCTGCCACAYTTCAAATCATACCTTTCTCGGCCTTTTGGCTAAGATCAAGTGTAGTATCTGTTCTTATCAGTTTAATATCTGATACGTGGGCCATCGGCCCACATGATATTAAATTTATTTTTCTAGGGGAAGGCCCACCAGAGTAGCTTGCTACTGGGGCCTTACGCGTCGCCTGGGCCTTACACTACAGTCCAGGCCCGGCGCACCCCTCCAAATAATAGTTCAATGATTTTTATTGTATGTGTTCTGCCTAACCTGGGCTGAAAGTACAAATCGCTAATTATCATTTGGGCTTTGGGCTTCGGGCTTCGTTTTTTGAGGTGGTATCTTGAATGACCACATTTATTAATGCTTGATTAATAATAAATCAATTTTGGGGGGAACTCCATAGATTTAGATAGATTTAGGGAATTGGTTACTATTCCCGAATCGCACAAAAGAGATAAAAATAAAATTCCTAACCATGGTTCGATTCTGTATTTGCAAAAGTCGAGTGCTCTGTTGGGTTCTCGGTCTGGCGACACAAATTTCTAATTAATTTCGGGATACAAATTTTAACTAATTTTGTGCGGGATACATCTTTCCTTTTTATTTTTCATATACATATATATAATATATATGTGTGTGTATATTCCTCAACACCTTACTATTTGGTCAAGAATTGGATCAAATGCTTTTTCAACGAGCCTGAGATTATTAGTGAGCAGTGTTCAAGTCAGTAAGTGATGTTCGCCAATCTATTCTTGAGGAGAACATAGTTTTGCGTACTTAAAATGAGGCATGGGGTCTTCTATTTATAGGCAGAGCTTCCGACAAAGCTCCAACGGCCCGAGAAATGCAATGTGTTGTYGTGGATGGTGTCGAAATGCTATGCCTACAGAAGTACACTTTCATCAACTTGAYTGATAACTCACACATCCAATGTAAAAGTTTGAGCTCGACTGAGCTGATAACTCAGGTATGCCGAAGCGTAAAACTTAGGTCAGCTAACATGGACCATGAGGTACGACCGTCTCCATCTCCAGCCGTTCAACTTGACCTCTGACGAAAGTTCGAACTGTAATATCTTCTATATGTGAATCCTTGCTGACTCATCATTATYAGGTATATCACATGTTGACATCGAGCTATTGAGAAATCACCTCTAAATACTTACCTTTCCATTTGAATTTTAATGAACTTTTACCTCTACTACTTGAATGTATATTGATTCTTAAATTAGATTTTAAAACTTCTCTAGTTCATATTTGTTTCTTAAAACTAAGTTAGTCTAATACTTGTGTTTTTTTTTATGAAAATTACAATAAATGCCCTGAAATAACAAAAATATTATTGCTTTTCTAAAATAAAAATGACTTAAAATTTAAAATTTCACTGGGATTCTATAGACCTTTTTACCAACAAGTAAAGAAATTCAGTATAAATTTTTATTTTTTAAACATTAAAAAAATAATTATCATCAAATAGACATCAACATGACTGTGTCATTCACGTAAAATACAAAAGAAATTATTATCCACCTAACCCTATATTCGTTACTGTGGTGCACAACACCACCAACCGTTTCATTTGTCAACAAACTCATAAATAGAAAACTCAAAAAAGAAAGGAAAAAACCATTAATAAACCAATCCCAATAATTAAAATTCTTTTGATTGAACATTAGATGAATGAAGGCAATCTAATATAAATACAATCTGAAAAAATATTATAATATATTACATTATGTGACGAGAAAATGAAAGAATTGAAAAGACGGACAAATAAAAAATACATAAAATTACCTTTCAAAAAAAAAGAAAGAAAATACATAAAATCAGCTCATGAAAAACTAATATGTTTAGAACGTTAAAGATTAAAATATTATTTTGTTCCRTCATTTTAAAACATCTATTTTAATCCCACTTTTAACTTTGGTTCATTTTAGATCTCATACTTCTAAAATGTTTGTTTTGATCTATGTASTTTTAAAAAACGACCATTTTAGTTCTTATTTGTAAAATTTTAATACAAATTTATGATTTCATTTCTATAAATTTAGCGTATGAAGTGTCATGATGAAATTATGATCAGAATAAATAAGATCAAAATAAAAATAGACGGATCAAAATAGTCACTTTTTAAAAGTATGGGACCAAAAATGACATTTCAAAATTGAAGGAACTAAAATGAACAAAAATTGAAAATACAAAGACCAAAATCAACCAAAGCCGAAAGTAGGGACCAAAATAGCATTTAAACCAATATTATATTATTTCGTATGCTAACCTTACTTGGGCTTCTGGATATTGAATAGTGTCCTTTGACGGCCCATTGCTCTAAGAGACGTTATTTCTTAACTGGGCTGGGCCTTGTGGATTGGGCCATTCGGATAATGGGTATCATCTTCAGCTACGTCTGAAACTCTAAATATTATTATTATTATCTTAAATGGGTAATGTAATCTGTGTCTTAAATTTTTATTATTTAAGATAAGTTAAATTCAAATTTTATTTCCATATAAGACACAGATTACATTACTCGTTTAAGATATAATTTTAGAATCCTAACCAAATCAGAAAAGAAGAAAAAAAAGGTCTTAGAACTACTTGAATTTTAAATTTTGACTAGGATTCTACAAACGTTTCATAAAATAAAGAAATCAAGAATAGACAGACCAAGTGTATTTTATAGAACAAAAAAATAAGGAAAAAATAAAATAATAAATAGAAATTAGTATCTCATTTCGTAGGTATGACTGTCGTTTTCTGAAAAAATTCAAAATTAATTATTGGTATCTACCTCTATATTAGTTCTTATTTTATTTAAATATAAATATATATATATTTAATTATAGATCGGTACTTTCTCCAAAAAAAAAAAATATATATATATATATATATATCAGGGCCTATTTCTACATTGACATTAATGCCACCCACCATTTCATATTTGTCAACAAACTATCAATAAACTGTTTCAATGACAAAGAGAGCATAGCTCCAATCAAGAAGCTGTGAGTGCGAATTCCCTCCTCAACATGTTGTAAAAGAATAAATAAATAAACATGTTGTAAAAGAATAAATAAATAAACAGTTCAATTCCATAATACTTTTGAATGTGAAATGAAGGGTATTATATTATAAAAATGGAAAATTAAAGAATTCCTTTGATAATTTTCTTATTTATTGTTTTTCGATCTTTTTAATAAATAAAAGTAGAATGACATTTGATAATTATTTATGATATTTTATTCTTTTATTAGAAAAAAAAACTTTATACTTGTTCCATTTAATATACCTGTAATTTTATAACTAAAGAAAKAAGATTTTCTACTTAATTATAGTTTTGTGTTGGTTTTATCTAATCCAACCAATTTTAATACATAAACTTCAATTTATAAGAAACAATTACCACCAATTAATCYGTGGCAATTCAAAAAGTATTTTTAAAATACTAATAATTTTATCGTCAAAATATTACGATGYAAAATTTTACTTTTTTATATAAAAGTTTTAGTTCTATCCCTGAATTAATCCACCCAAAATGACTCTCTAGCACGATGGAACCMGATAAATTGGATTAAATTAATATGTGATATTAAATTAATATATGATATGGTAAAGTATTGGATTTCTTTRATACCCCTTGGGTGTGGATCGTGATATCATTAGAGGAATATTTTCTTAATTTTGAGTCTCTACAAAAACAAATAATGAACAAAACAATAAATATTTGAGATTAATAAAAAAAAATGTCACTTTCAAAAGTCAAGTTGAATTATCACTTTGGCCTACATCAATGTCCATATCTGCTGGCTATTCTCTTTGATTTGCCATTTAACTG